ACATACATGCAGGCAAAATGCTCATACACATAAAATAAAAAGTTTTTTAAATTGGTAGATATGGGTAATATGCAGAATGTTCTTCAGAGGATATAAAACCTTAAGGGAATAAAAATGGTGGTGTTTTAATGTTTTGTTTGGGGTTTTGCGTTTTGTTTTTAAATCTATATCATAGCAGTATTGTGAGACTGAGGCTGCAAACTGTTTTTGTTTTGTTTTGTTTTGAGGCTGGGTCTATGTTGTCCAGGCTGATTTCCAGCTCACAGGCTCCAGTGGTCCTCTTTCTTCAGCATCCCAAGTGTCTGCAACAACAGGTGTATGCCACCATTCCAGCTGAAACAACATATGAGAGTATTGCAGAAGAAAGGCTCAAGGACATCTGGCGTTGTACATTTCTCTTTTCTTAAGTCACAGATTCATAGGTTACTGAACCAAAAGGTACTTAAAGAATTGCTTTTGCCGGGCGGTGGTGGCGCACGCCTTTAATCCCAGCACTCGGGAGGCAGAGCCAGGCGGATCTCTGTGAGTTCGAGGCCAGCCTGGTCTCCAAAGCGAGTTCCAGGAAAGGCGCAAAGCTACACAGAGAAACCCTGTCTCGAAAAACAAAAAAAAACAAAAACAAACAAACAAAGAATTGCTTTTAACTCCCTTGTTTAGTGAAGAGAAAAAAAAAAGGAAAATCACAAGACCAGACAAATTAAGTGATAAAAGTTATTAGTTCATGGCAAAACCTAGATTAATAACCAGGTCTCCAAGCTGTACAGTATGCTCTTTCATCGTGCCATACTATGATTTTTTGTTACTTTGGATAAAATGAGTTGACAAAGTAACACAAGCAGGCCAAACAAAGACAAGACCCCGTGTCCCTGCTGTCCACAGTATTACATATTTATAAGAAAGTCAGTGAAGTATAATGAAGAATAATGAATATAGATTCAATATGTCCAAAATAGTGTCTTTCACTTCCTAACTTATGGTCTTAACATCTCCAGGCATTGATTATAAAATATTTTAATGTCAGCTAATGGTAACACTATGGCTTTTTAAAAATGCTAATTAAGATTTTTTTTTTAAAAAAAATAAATTCAAGTAAGAATTTTCCCAATATTATGGTATTTTCATTCCAGATCTATTAAAAACATGACAAAGTAGAAACTGAACAGAAAAAATATCCATTTGGCCGGGCGGTGGTGGCTCACGCCTTTAATCCCAGCACTCGGTAGGCAGAGCCACGAGGATCTCTGTGAATTCAAGGCCAGCCTGGGCTACCAAGTGAGTTCCAGGAAAGGCGCAAAGCTATACAAAGAAACCCTGTCTCGAAAAACAAAAAAAAAAAAACAAAACAAAAAAGATATCGATTTGAAGCTAACGGCAAGACTAGATATTTAAATGTCTCTTGTTAATCTTGCTAAGTGTTAAGGTAAAGTTGGCTAACACAATTAAAATGAAAAACACATCATTGACAGCATATACAAAATAAAATATATTCAATGGATTTTAGGAAAAGCACTTTTCCACAGATTTAATGGGCTTTATGGTGAGTTACACTAAAAACAGAAAAGTATGAAAATGTTAAGTGTAAAAAAGTAGAGATTGGGGAGCTGGAGAGATGGCTCACTGGTTAATATCATTTAACTGTTCTTGAAGGGACACAAGCTCAGTTCCCAACACGCACATCAGGGAGCTCACAGTCGCCTAGAACTCTAGATTCAGGGGTCCTGGTTCTCTGACTTCCACAACACCTGCACTCTCATGCATGAACATGTATATGCACACACGTATACATTCACAAAATAAATCTCTGAAAACAAAAAAAAACCCCGCAGATTAGAATCTTGGTCCTCTACTGTTAAGCTGCCCAACTTTAACACCATAACCTCTTGGGTCCTAACTTTCCTTGAATGTAAGACAGAATTATAAGAATCAAAATTTAGATAGCACATGGGGTGAAGCCTGAGATTAGAAGGCTGTTGGAAGTTTCTGGTCATCCTGGCTATGGTGTGAAACCTGACTCACAAACAATGTGGGGCTGTAGAAATCGCTTGATAGTTAAGAGCACTTGCAGCTCTTGGAAAGAACCTGGGCTCAGTTTCTAGCACCAACCTGGTGGCTCACAGTTATCTGTAACTCCAGTTCCAGAGGATCTGATGCTATCGTCTGACCTGTGGGCACCAGGCAGGCAAAACAATCATACACATAAAATAAGATGTATCTTTTAATTTTTTAATTAAAAAAAAAACCACAAAGTAATAGAACAAGGAACAAGAAGTTTTTCATCTCTAGATCTCTTTCATTCTCTACTCTAAAGTACTTTTCCACAGATTTAATGGGCTTTATGGTGAGTTACACTAAAAACTAGAGAATGAAAGTCTCTCTCATTGCTTTGGCTTTACATAGATGTTGCATATTTGGCTTATATAACCAGTGACCTCTCTTGGTTTTAACTTTAAATTCTTCCTTTCTGGACAGTATTGGAGGGCACAAGGTTTGAACAGGGCCTCACTCTATAGCTCAGGCTGGCTTGGAACTCAGAATATAAACCAGACTGATTAGAATTGGGCAGGGGGAGGGGGGAGTAGGTAAATCCTGCTTCAGTCTCCCAAGTGCTAGGATTACAGTTTCCAGCCACTAGGTTCAGTTTAATATAAAAGCTTTTTTTGTATATCTAGCTCTGAGAACAAGATATAAAGCATGTGGCCTCTGATCACAACATTCAAAAGTATACAAAAGAAAACATTCCCAAACTGGACTCTGTGGTACATGCCTGGAATCTCAGAAATCAAGAGACAGCTAAGGGGACCACTGAGCGTTCCAGGCCAATTTGGGCTACATACTGAGAATTTGTCTCAAAAAAAAACAAAGGCTGGACGAGTTAGCTCTTGCAGGGTCTTGTGTTGGGTCTCCAGTACCACAAAGACCAAACAAAGAAACACACACACCACACAACCACACACACACACAAAGAGGACATTAGAACACTCCATTAAAAGGTTATACTGAATCCAGTATGCAAGGATAAGTCTCTCTCATCTTGGGGTGGGGCAAGAGTCCCTTACTTGTATTAGTCATGATCACAATTTGAAATTAGCTATTATTTTCTGTATAGATTCCCTCAACTCACAAAAATTCTCATTCTGAAATAACCTACTTAGAAATAATCAGCCCCTTATAAAGGATTCTGAGCTCTGAGGATTTTTGTTTTGTTTTTATTTTGAGACAGGATTTCTCTGTGTCCCTGGGTGTTCTGGAACTCTCTATGTAGACCAGCCTGGCCTTGAATAGGCAGAGATCTGCCTGTCTCTGCCTCTTGAGTGCTGGGGTAAAGGTATGCAAAGCACAGCCTGGCAATTTTGAGGGTTTAAAAGTTCATGAAGCAGGGCATGGTGGCTCATATCTGTGATCAAAGCACTTGGGAGGTGGAGGATCATCTCAAGGTCACAGACTACATGGGACCCTATCTCAAGAAAAACAAAACAAAACAAATATTTGAAAGTAAAGCGGAATGTAGTTTTAAAGCACAAATGACAATAAGTCTTTCCCAATAAATATTCCACAACCTAAAAGGGAATAGCAAATTGGTAAAGAACTCACTGCCGTTCAAAAGGTCAGACCCCACTCAATCTTCAGCATTTTTGGACTCTTTTGAGTACTCCTAAACTGCCAGATGTCTAGTTAGTAATTTCAATGGTTTTACAGTAGTACTGAATTTGAAACCACCATAAATTAATCTTACTGGACTCCCTACTTTAGAGCAATACAACGTCCCACATAGGTAATTTTTATTACGCTCCCCCACACACCCGATCCCTGTTGTTAAATTACACTTAAAACTCTAATGTAACCAATGACTTTGATTTTCTCCACTCATCACTTCAACTTCATACTCTAACTCTTAGTTTAAATTTCCCTCACAGCTGCCCTACCTTAATCTTTAGTTGTAACTTCAAGTATTTTTTTTTTCTCATGCTCTTAAAAATACAAAGACTAAACAGAGGTTCCATCCCTAGGTAAGACTTTCACCCCACGCCCATAAATTCCTGCCTCGTTTTCAACTTTTAAAGAGAGCTAAAGGAAAACACTGAGTGTTAAAAACACAATGAGAGGGGGAGAGAGAGAGAAACACAAGTGAGGCGTACACTAGCCTGGAGTGACCCCAGGTCAGCCTGAGTCTCTGCCAGCAAAGGCCAGGTAACATTTACTCTTGTTGTCTAAGTTTCTTTGTCTCTCAGCCTACCAATGAATCCTCCTGCACATTATTATACTATTGTATTTCATCAGTAGTTACAATACTTCCCAAAGGAATCCCTTTCTCAGTCCGTGAATTCTCTTTAAAGAGCTTTCTGACGATCTACTGTTGAATCCCAAGACTACAAACCTCCCACTCCAGAGGACAAACGTAAGGCAAAACCAGAAATGAATTCGCCGAAGGCTCTCAGACCTTCCTCACATTCTCGGAACAGATATCTAAGTTACCAATAACAATGACCACAGAAGTACAGACTGAACGAGGAAGAGGAAGTGTTAGAACAAGATCCAAACAGCACCAAAAGCCCAGCAGTCGCCTCTATCATCCTAGCTTACCACCCCCACTTCCTACTTGCAGCGAGGACTCATCGATTCCCGCTCGGGAGGTGGCAAACGATTCACGAAGGCAGCAGGCGCTGGCCAGTCGGGGACGGGTGTTTGACTGCGTGGTGGAAGGAGGCTAGCCAAGGGCCGGGCAAAGAATGGGAAGCTGGAGTGTTATGGGGGGAGGGGGGATTTAGGGCGCCAGGGCTAATCCGGTCCGGGGCCCGCGGGTGGAAGGGGCAGCAGGCGAGCCTCCCGGAAGGCGAGGCAAGCCGGTGCGCAGGGCTTTCGGGTCGCGAGCAGAGGAGGACGCTGGCTGCCCCGCCGGGGGCGGGTGGCGGGCCGCACAAGGGAGGCGGCTCCGGGAGGGCGACTGTTCGGGGTGTGAGAGCTGGCCTTCCTCGCCGCCCGAGACCCCTCCGAGCTCACACCTCAAACCTGCTCTTGGTCACTCCGTTCACGTCCCTCCTCATGGGGCCAGCGGGTGCGGCCCGGACAGGGCGCTGCGGCGTGCGGAGTGCAAAGACAGGGGCCAGGGCAGGCCCGGGAGTTCCGGGAGCGGGAGGCGGAGACGGTAACGCGAGGCCCGCCCGTCCGACGCGGAGGACAGACCGCTCGAGTCCCGCGGGGCCTCCACCACCGCCCGCGGCGTCCGCGGCCGCGACGACTGCCAGTCGCGGGCTCGGTTCTCTCCAAAGCCTCAACTTCAACCCAAAACAAAAACACTCCCCACCTGCCAGCAACGCCGCTCCTCATTGGGCAGAGCCGCCCGGGCCTCGGAACGCCGGGGGAGGGGAGGAGCGCTCGGCGGCGGCGGCGGCGGCGGCGGCGGCGCGAGCCCACCCCTCCCCCACCGGGCGCAGCCCCGGACGGTGAGCCCGCGAGCAGCCGGAGCGTGGGGCGGCCGGGCGCGAGCCCACCGCGACAAGGAGAGGCAGGGAAGTGCCCGAGTGTGCGTGCGTGTGTGGAGGGGGGGGGGTGGCGGTGGGGAGGGGGGCTGTGGGGCGGGTGCGAGTGCGCGCGTGCCCGCGGACCGGCGAGGAGAGCGAAGCAGGGACGGCGGCACATCACCGGAACCCTCCCCGCCGCTCCGAAGACTCACCGGCACGCAGCGACCCACGCGGAACCTGAGCTTCCAGCTTAAGTGTCCCCAGCCCTAGTCTAGTCACTTCACCGGCGGCCTGAGCTGGCACCCACATCGTCCTGGCCACCCACCTCCCGTCCTCTGTCACTCACTGTCGCCTTGAACCCAAAGTGCAGCAGGCGGTCCCTGCTCGGAGCCATTTTCCTCCTTTTTCTAGGCGTCTCTGGGTTGGGGCAGTGCTGCCGCCGCCGGCGTGGGTATTGCCGCCGCCGCCTCCTCCCCCGTCCCGGTGAACTGCATTACGGGGTGCTGCGGGGAGGCCTGGGGGGCCGCTGCGGGGCGGCTGTCTCTCAGTGCCTGGCTCCAGAAGGCAGGAGCTGGCGGCGCTAAGAGGCGGACCTAGCGCTCGGCTCTGCACAGGGACTGGTAGTGAGGCTTCACCTCGGGGTCAGGGGGTGCGATGCCCCAGCCCGGCACCCAGTCTTGGGCCGGGGGAGGGGCGCGCGTCGGTGGGGTGGGGGCAGGCAAGGCACAAGGGCCTTTGGCATCCCCGCCCCCCGGCCGGTGGCGCCCAATGGGCTGCAGTGGCTGCCCACCCTCCAATCAGGGCGCTGGTTGGTGAGAGCCTCAACCTGACGCCATTTCGGCGGGAGAAACAAGCATGTAGGAGAGGGTAGGCGGGGGCGTTTGACCACAGAAAACGATGACTTTCATTGGGCTAGGCTCCTAGTACGGAAGCTAGTCCCTGTCATCTTACTATTAATGTAAACTCCAGCCTTCAAGATTCCTAAACCTATGACCTATTGTCCATGAATTATGAAACCATCTAGCGTGAGTTGTCCCTTCAAAGAGAAACACATTACACAATGTACCTATCTGAAACATTAAAAACTATCATAAATAGCGCCCTTGCTAGATGAGGCCACAATGCTGCTTTTAATTGTATACTCAAAGCAGTTATGAGTTTGCCTCACACCCTTTTAGTTTTAATAAGAATCCGATCAAGATGGACATTTATGAGCAACAAGTCCCGAGAACCTTTATAGAAAACTTATTTTAGCTTACATATTGACTTCAAGCACTTTATTAATAAACTTTTTTTTGAATCATAGTTTATATAGCACTGGCTGTCCTTGAACTCTGGCTGGCCTCGAATTCGAGAGACCCACCTGTCTCTGACTCCCCAGTTCTGGCATTAAACACATGTCATGACCCCTGGCCAAACTTTCTTTTTCCCCATAAAGAGGCCTTCTTACACTCTCTTCAAAAAATTCAGTTCTTGACCACAAAAACCTAGGTTCACATGTTACATTCTCTTTGAGTCCTACATGCTTTTAAGCATTTACTTTACTTCAGCCAGTGGAAAAACCAGCAACGTTTAGCAGCATCCCAGCAAGTTACTGATGAATTTTATACCAACTGCAAGTCAGGAAAAAGTGAGAAGAACTGGCACACAAAAACAAATCAAATGTAGACAAACAGAAAGTCTGTCCCTTCAGTCAACCAGCTATGCATTCCTGTGAGCCCATTAAAAACTCACGGAAGCCCCTGGTTTTTAAGTAATTTGGATTTCTCAGACGCTTATCAAATGAAAATATTCAAAGGACAAGATTTTATGGTGTTGACTCATACCTGTAATCCCAATGTTCCGGAGGTCGAGACATAAGGACTGCTTGAGTTCTGAATCATACTGTGCTACATAGCAAGTTCTTTGTGATTTGACTCAGAGACAAATCACGAAACAAACAAAGGTCCGGCACCCCAACTCTTGGAAAGAGGAGAGCAAGAGGATAAAGAGTTCAAGGTCTGGCTGGGCTACATAAAACCCAGTCTCAAAAAACAAGAGGCCAGCCTGATCTACACCGTGAGTTCCAAGCCAGCCAGGGCTGCCTAGTATTCCTTTTGAAAAAACAACAACAAAAACTTCAGAGGCTTATTACTTTTTATCAAAGAAATTTATTTGTATGTAAAGAAACAGTTTTTCTTTTCTTTTTTTGTAATGTTTTAGAGGGGGAAAAATCCCACAGATTTTTCCAATTTCAAAAAATGAAAAAAAAAAACCCCAAAATATTTACACAACAGCCATACACACAAGAAAATCAAATGAGAAATACTTTAAGACCCTTCACGCTGCTCCTGATGTACATGTTTAAACTCAAAATGTAAAGCTCAGCACTATCATTGAGCATGTTTCCCAACCTAGTTTCTAAGATAATACTTCCTGTCCCTCCAAAAGTTAATTCCAAGTCAAATAATTGGGGGGCAGGGCTAAAGATAAAAATAAAATAGAAAATGAGATTACCCAGGGATTGTGAATGTTTTCTATACTGACATCTGCTGTGACTCAACTGTGGATACTATGTGACTCACTGGCTCTTCAGAAAATTCATGATATTGCTGTTCTAGATTCTCAGACCTTGGCCTGGCAAAAATAAAATCCAATTCAAGAGTTATCAACCTCAAGTTGGCTTTGGCAATTATATCAGGTCCCCATTGCTCACCGTGGAAACACTTGTTTTAAGATACACTGAATTTGAATCTGAAATATTCCTGTACATCAGAGCAGATTTTGTCCAAAGGCCCTTAACATGAAGCCAAAAGACAGAAGAATCAGGTCAAACTGAAAATACAGAATGTCCAACAGCAGCCATCAGGTGGAAGTTGACTTCATGTTCTTGCCGTCTTTTCAAACAGGAGAATGAGCACACCTGGATGGGAGGGAGGTGTTCCAGGCTTGGTTTATTCTGCTTCTTCTCCTCCACCCTGTGGAGAAATGCAGTGCTCCCTGGTTCCCAGGCAGGGTGAAGCAGTTTAGCCCCGGCTCCCTGTTAAGCAAGTTCAGATGCTGGGCCATTGTGTGGGGTGTGCCCATCGACAATTCAGGGGCTTATCCTTCATCCAGATCCTAACTCGGGATTCTTTGATCTGGGATGAAGACAGAAAGAGAGAAAAAGCTTCCCAGTTTACTCATTTTGGTATTTGTTGGCGCTGCTTGGGGGGACTGAGCCCCTTATACTATGCAGTACATTTCCCCATGAGATCATCCCCACCCAGAACAAACTGAAACACCACATAACTTTAACTTTCCTGCAGAAACTAAGAGGATAAGATTCAGAACCAGGTGGCAAACTTCTGAGAAATCCAACCTGGTTGTATATCTGAGACACTGCCACTGCATCAGCACCACATGATAAAGCACTCCAGTGTCACCTTGCCCATGTCCTCGTTAGTGTCACCCAAGACAGTGGACTCTGATAGGGTAACAGGTAACTTTTCTTGCTCCACTTTACAGTTTTGTTTCCTATTTATTGCCTTGGGACACAGAAACGGCGGAGTTGTTGAGAACTGATGACCAGAAAAGGGAGAACACCAAAGGAAATGAGAAACAGTCAGGAAAGAAAGCCACAGTAGATTTCCCAAGCCTACACTAACTCCAACCTGCAGAGAGTTGGATATAGAAATCGTCCGTATCTGATGAAGTCACTCCACTTGTAACATACACAGACATGAATCACCTGGCTTTTTTTTTTTTTTTTTTTTTTTTTGTGTGATCCAGAAGAGTTGTGCTGGGGATTATGCCCCATCCCGCTGATCCAGATCCTGAACGGAACCATCAGGAACGGCACAGTGCAGGTGGCAAAATCAAAGTAAGGCCGCGGGTTTTTGTGAGGACCTCCAAATACTGAGAACTTCTGTTGCACTCAAAGTGGTCTCCTGGATTTCTCTATTTATGAGAAGGGCTTCATTTGATGTCCCTCAGAATCCAGATTCAGACCTGTTTCTCCAAAAAGGTCCAATTGTATGCTACACAGTAGCAAGGTTTATCTTCATGCTCACTTAGCATTCCAGGCCCCTGTTACTTCAAGTGAGCTTGAAATTGTTTTAAGTGAACTATGGCTGCATTTTTTTAAACTGTTTATCTCGGGGAGCACACAGTAGAGTGACTTAAGTCTGAACTCCTCCTCCTTGTGATGAAGAGAAACAAAGAGTCCAGCTCTGAGGAATGGCATCAGCTCTCCTGCAAACAAAATGCTGGGATGTAGACTTTTGGCACATTGTGGAACTAGGAGAACTATTAATTCTGTAATGGTTTTCATACCATAGGGTATAGAATCTGAAAACATATTTATACCCCCTAAGCCACCCTTCCTTTTTAACGAAAAAAGATAAATCTTTTAACTGCATAGGGAGGTAACTCCTATTATTCCTATGATGTCTGAACCCTGTGAAAAACCTCCAAAGATAATAGTTTTGGTTTTTCTATTTCACTTCAAAGACAGGCTCTGATTAGCCTGTGCGGGCTTTGATGCTGCAGCATCAGCAAAAACTGCAAGCTCCCCACCACCAAACAAACTTCGCCCTTCCTGCCTATCATTGAGAACCATAACCTTCATAGATTTAAGAACAAACATTGCATAAAAACAAACATTAAGGATTAAAATATTACAAATAAATAGCTAAAATAATTTTCCCTCCCCCAATCACTCCTAAGAAACAGACACCAAACATTGCTTGAAGTGTCCAAAACTGCCAGAGTCCTTCCCTTGCCCATGCTTCCAATGGACAACTACCAAAGGTGAACAACCTTCATGCAAACGCATCAAGGAATGTATTGCTTTTTTCATTTTCTGCCCAGCCCTTCA